GGTCAAGACACATTGGCTTCTTACATTTGGCGCACAGCTTTCTGGTTTTTCTACGGCGTTTTTCCTCGTGTGTGTAACATAAATAGCAGGATCCGGACACAGGTTTTGCGCGCTGCGGCAGATGTTGATGCTGCTGTTGACAACATTGATTCCACCGGTCGGTTGAAATATGCTCCAATAGCAATTTTAGTCGAAAAATTTCGCGTCACTTGACGATTTATGGCTCTGGCTTCAATAATGGGCATACACAATGCCTCAGCCAAGCTGCGCAGGATCTGCTTACGCTTGTTGTTTGTTCTCCAAGGCAACATAGGGTTATTCAAATCGTAGACAGACAGTGTAGGCTGCAAGAGCTGTAATGTCCAACATGTTGAAGAACATCGCTAGTGGCCATCGTTTTGTTTGTCTTTGTGTTGGATATTCCGCAAACATTTGGTCCATTCGATCAACACCACCTTTGGTACTACTATAACATTCAATTATTTCAGGTTTCCCACTGTCAGCTATTTCAGCATCATTATGCATGGTCGAACGCAAAATGACTGCTTTATTTTTTTGGGAACATAAGAGTACATTGTCACATTATTTTTGAAGCCAAATGTCGTTGAACCAATTGTCCTGTTTTTGTTCTGCTTCATTTCTTGAGGAATATATGATTTGTTTTTGCGCAAAGTTCTAACGATCGCGAGTTTCCAGGTGAGAAGCAGTTCTGCAACTGCCAAGGTCGTAAACAATTGTCCGTTGTAATGTTTCGGCCACTCCCTTGGTATTTGGCAGACAAATCCTTCACCACTCGGTCGCCTTGGTTTGTTTCCCTGCCAGTTGCTGCTTGGCCAGTATATATTTGTCCATGCAGTGGATATGCATTTGTGGCATCGCAAATCCACCAAACCTTGACACCATACTTAGCAGGTTTTGACGGCATGTACTGCGTAAACCGTGTGCGTCCACGGTATGGAAATAATTGTTCATCAAGCATGAGCTGGGCTTGTAATGTACAGCAATATTATTGTTCATCATCGTCCACAACTCACTGATCAGTGCTGCTTTATCAGTTAGTAAGCGTGTTGCACGAGTGTTTTTATCGTTAAATCTTAGGAACCGCAATATCGAACAGAAACGGTTGACTCCCATTGTGGCGCGATATAAAGGATAGTTTTTGACGCTCCATAAATCTCGAACATGTTCTCCATTGCTATGGTTCGCACCAGTCATAATAAGTATGCCAAAAAATGCATACAGCTCTGTTATTGMCACAGGCGCCCATGACTTAGGAGCTGTGTTTGGATGCGCATTGTTGTAAGCATTATAAGTTTCTTTTGATAACTTATTTGTGTGGCGCATAATTATATCAGCCATTTCAACGTTCATGAAACATTTGAWTGTTTGCTCTCTTGACAACATTTCAGTGCATCTAGCTGGTCCAGAACATTCTCTCATAATATTTTGTCTGAGTACCTGACGACTTACATTTGGTGCTTTCATCCACTCAGTACCATCACGTGCAACAAATTTTTCGGCACTACCACGTAATTCATTATTTTCTTCTACTTCTTCTTCTGCATCGTCCTCTTGATCATCCTCATAGTCCGCATAATCAGGTAATACTTCTGCGGCACTTTGCGAAACTTCAGCATCGGCATCAGCAATTTCAATGTCATTGATTTGAATTTCTTCTTCATCTTCTGAGTCAAAGTCATAGGGAGCGTCATTGTCACAAATTTCTTCAAATAAAGATTGTATATATGATTCTCGCTGTTCCTCAGTTAGCCTGCATAATAAAAAAAAAAAATTAGTATATGTTTACATTGTTGCTTATTTTACATTTTTAACCTTCTATATGCTGCAATTGATAAATATTCGTTTCTTCTTGAAGTCATTTCGTATCCAGTTATATTTATTTTCACTTATATTTTCATTTCTTACACTTTTGAGCATCAAAAAAATAATGAAAATATCAACATCCAGCATTTATAACAACACCTCGTGTGAAAACAACCCTTGGAGCTACATATAAAATACAAAAACCAGTTATACCAGTGTATTTGCTACCTACTTACCCATACCTTGAGCGACCTTTTTGCACATATCTTTTAAACCAGGTAGAATATTTCAATGAAATAAAAAAAATGTGTATTCGTTGTAACTCTACATGAACATTATTATAAATTATACTATTTTGCTTTGCATTTATCAGGACAACAACAAAAACAAAAATCCACTGTTGCATGTCCTGACTTTATTTGCCCATATCGCTGGAACCAGTAGGAATATTCGAATGAAACAAAAGACAAAATACTTGTTATTTATCAAAATATACATTTAAAAAAAAGTCTTAAAAATCGGTTGAATAAGCATTAAAAAACCCGCAAAATAAGGTCCCTGGGTACAAACGTATCCCGGGTGTGTGTTTACGTGGTATTTTCTGGGTGTGTGTTCTAGGGTTAATTAATATCCGTATATACTGAAGTGTTCAATGCGTGATAGCTGATGGCTTCCTAATTGTCGATATATCAATGACATATTTGACACATTCTTTGAATAGAATAATTAAATATTTATTGCTTATTTATCGAACTGAATGGAATCGTCCCGTCTTCGAATATATATTTTGAAGGTCATTAGTTTGTGTTGAAATTTTATCAAAGTTCTTTGGTAATATTATAAAATAACTTAGTATGGTTATCAATAATAAAGTACTAAATCTCTACTAAACAGGACTTCTTTCTATTTCCTGTTTTACCTGGAGTTAAAGCAATATTCGTTGTTTCAATATAACAAACAATTGCTTACATTTTCCTTCTTTTAAATATTTTAAAATTGTTCGATTGGGATTGTAAAACTTTTATCATATCGTCATAATTGATCAAATATACTAATATTATTGTGTAACTGCAATTACTATGTTTTCCAGAAACTATTATAGAACCGTCTTTACCAATATTTGTTATTATTATTTGCTTCAATTTTTTTGTACAATTAGCATGTTTGTTATTTAACATATCTGATAAACATGTATTATTTCTTTTTTCATGCAAAATGCATGCTCTCTTTTTACAAAACGGGACTGACTAACATTTATTTCTGCATTTTAATATCTTATTTTTAATTAGGAATTTATTTTTTTTTTATTATATAGGTTTTTTGATATTTAATATAATTATAAACTAGTATTGGGTTTTTTTCCATCACACTTCCTTGACAGGATCTCTCATCCGAGGCAGTTTTCTTCCTTTCATTGGGGGTGTTTTTTACGTGGCGGATCCCTAACTCAGCACACAACCCTTCAAATGATATTTCATATGAWCTTTCTCAAGATGTCGTTCTTTATATTTTAAATAAATTATATATTCTATTACTGTTTTTGAATATACTATATAATGTGGTCAATATATAGGTGTGATAAAATTTTCCGATACATTCGCATACTAGATATATATGTGTGTATACATATATGGAGTAATCGTATTMTAAGTTATCATAAGATTGTCCATTTATTACAAAATTCACTATATTTATTACAGCGTCTTWTCCAAAAAATAGTTATTTTACGTTTTAATGTTTGACGATAAAGTTGGATGAAAGTACGGCGGAGCGCTAAACATGTGGTCCGTTCCCTCGAGTGGTTAAAGTAAAAGAGAAAGAGTCGTCTGTGCGTGGCTGGAGTGTCCGTTTTCTACGGCGTCGTAATGGCCGACTCATTGAGTCGTCACGCCGCGTAATGGCTGGTGAGTGCCGGTCGTTGGAGAGAGATGGCAGATGGGTGCTGTTAGCAAAATCAGCTGTGGGCTGGCTTGGCGTAGTTGCCACATCCACTCCCCTTCCAGTGACTTGGTCTAAAGGAGAAAGGCACGAATTGTTTTGTGTTGGTGTGGGTTGTGATGTGGGTGGTGATTTTTGAGGTGAATGTGGATTGTGAATCGTCTGTTAACTCAATGTATGCTGGCTTCAGCATGTCGATTGAAACTGTTTTGTCTGCCCCATTGATCCTAATGATGTAGGTTKTGTCGTCTACACGCTGGATGACTTCGTGGGGGCCAGTGTATGGTTGTTCCAGAGGCTTGTTGATGGAGTGTACTCCCTTGATAACGTGGGTGCACGTATCAAGGTTTTTGAGTAGGTTTTGCATTTCCTCACGAATGTTTGTGGATCAGCTGGTGTGCTTGCTGTAACGAAGAAGTCACCGGGTATACGCAGTGTAGTCCCAAAAAGCATTTCAGCATGTCCGGCCAAGGTGCCTCATTTTTGCACATGAGAGCAGCCTTGAGTGTGCGGTGCCACCGCTCCACCAGGCCATTCGATTGAGGATGATACGGTGTCGTTCTGATACGATGAATGCCCAGCATTCGTGAGAGTGAGGTGAACAGTGCTGATTCAAATTGTAGAACTTGATCAGTGGTGTACCGAATTGACAAATCCACAGAGTGTAAAAGGCGTGTGCAACTGTCTCAGCTGCCATGTTGTTGARTGSTRTRGCGTGTGGCCATCTGCTGAAGCGGTCAATGATCGTCAGACAGTAGCGAAGGTCCCTGACTCTGGGCAGCTCTATGAGATCCAGGTGGACATGCTCGAAGCGATTGTCTGATACGTCAATGGGGTTTGGTGTGGTGCGATTGTGACGATGGACCTTGGAACGTTGACATAGTATGCAGCGTCTGGACCAGAGGAGCGCGTCTTTTCTAATACCTGGCCAGACGAATCTTCCGGTGAGTTCCTTGGCTGTGGCCCTGTCACTAGGGTGAGAAAGACCATGGATGATGTCAAAGGCCTGGCGTCTGAGTGGCTGTGGAAGATAAGATCACACAATATTATTAGACACATCACATAGTATATCATGACATTCCATGTTCAGCAGGTACAGCTTGAGAGATGTGCTGGATTGGACATCACTAAGCTGGTCATCTTGGAGTTGTGCCAGCGCAATGGTCTCAACATCAAGTTTGGTTGGCATGGTTATGGCATTGATCCTCGAAAGCGCATCACCTGCGACATTTTCTGTGCCCTTGGTATGGAAAATCTGAGTTGAGAACTGTGAGATGAAGTCCAATTGACGTAGTTGGCGAGGTGATGCCTTGTCAGCACGTTGAGAAAAAGCGTAGTTGATTGACTTGTGGTCGATGAAGATGCTGAAGTTTCTTCCCTCTAGAATGTGCTTGAAAAACTTGATGGCAGCAAAGATGGCCAGAAGTTCACGATCGTACGTGGAGTACCTGGTCTCTGCTGGACTGAGCTTGCGGGAGAAAAAGGCCAGTGGTTGCCATGAGTCCTTGTGTCGCTGTTCAAGAACGCTCCCAATRGCTGYATCCGAGGCGTCGRATCTCAATSAGAGGAYGGCGWTTGGTGCGAGGAAAGCCAGSCGCGTGGCTTGKATGACACTTCTCTTRCAGYCTTGCCAGGCTTGATCTGCAGAAGGTGTCCACTGGATTTYAGTGTTGTCCTTCTTCTTKGCATGTTTGAGAAAGTCCGTCAGTGGWGATTGTATCTGGGCCGCTTGAGGGATCGCTCGCCGGTAGTAGTTGACGATTCCCAGGAAACGACGTAGATCGCTGACGGTTTCTGGCTTTGTGTAATCGGCGATTGCTTGCGTGCGTTCGGCGGGTGGAGTGTAGCCGTCTTTGTTGATGGTGTACCCCAGCCCAGTTGTCTCAATGTGATGAGCGACTTGACTGTCAGTGGCTGTGATAGGATTGGTGCTGGGATGAGTTATGTCGATGAATTGGTTGAGTAATTGCAGGTATTTAGCGTCATGTGTACCAGGATCGATTGTTGAAATGCTGTGTACCGTGGCCTCAGATAGTGTACCCTGAGTTGTGCCTGACGTGGTTGTATCGATGAGACATCGTCCTTTGAGCACCGTCCTTTGAGTCCTTCTGCACCGAGAATGGCTGATTTCACATCTGCAACTTTAAAAGACCAATTAAATGTGCGGCGAAGATTGAAGTCAAGGGTGATGACTTTCGACCGTAGGTTCGGATAACGGTCCCGTTGGCTGCGAAGAGAGTCAGACAATCTTCTTTGAGCGTGTGAGTGATGGCGGACTTGAGCATGAGAGAGATCACTGATCCAGAATCGACAAGAAATCTCATGTTTGTTGTGCGATCATGAATGTGAAGGCGATGCTCTCTGGTTGATGGTGTGTTACCTCTCTATGCTGTCGCCGGCCGCCTGGATGGTCGACAGCGAAGTTAGTTTTCCGCCGATGAGTTGAAGGTGACGCTCGCACTTTTTGGCTCTGGACCCATAGAGACGGTGATAATAGCAGAACCTCTTTTTGTCTGAGGCTGGCTCTTCCTTCGATGATGGCTGCTGGAAACGGCCATATGCAGGTTGGGGTCGGTCTCGAGTAATTCTCTGGTCCTTGATACAGGTCACCAGGTCGGCTATGGCAAGTTTAAGGCCTGACAAGTCCTTTGCCATGCTGGTGAGCAGAGAATTTTCGAATTTGTCGCCGCTGTGTGCTGCCTGGGCAGGCTGGTGATGTGTAGCCATAACGGAATGGCCAGCCTGGTTTTCCATTAGCTCGTGTGCAACTTCAGCAAGCTCATCTGGAGGGGCATCTCTGAGTAGTTTGAGACACCGGCTGGCTGATGATGGTAACAATGCCAACCATTTTATACGCAGTAAGTCCTCTGAGACCATGTCGCCAATGAGAATTCTGAGTTGGCGCAGGAGCTGGCTAGGTTTTTTATCATCGAGTTGAACCTCCGTAAGCGCTCGGTGAAGCTGGCGTTCGCTGGATTCCGAAAACCGCTTCAATATCGCATCCTTCAGCTTCGCGTACTTGTCGGTCACTGGTGGATTCTGGAGGAAGTCCGCTRGCTGTAACATTGAATCAGTGTCCAAAGCACTAACAATTTGATTGTAAAGTGATGCGTCATTTGTGATACGGGCCACCTGTAACACTGCTTCAACCTGAACAAACCACAAACAAGGCTGGATGAACCAGAACTGCGGGAGTTTGCAACTCGACACAGCTACAACTGATGCAGTGTTCTGGGTTACATCGGCGGCGTCACCGATGGTCGGTGTTGGGTCGKTTGTGGTCATRTTCGAAGAGATTGGTGTTAAGACGTTTGGATTACTAGTGGACGTGTTTGACGAGTTAAAWTTCACTGATTTGTTTGGCGTATGCTCTAATGGCATGTCAATGAATTGATTGAGAACACGTGGTCACATGAATTTTAGAGAGTGATGAATGAGAAATTACAACGAGCGTGAATTTGCAATTAATATTAACGTTTGCGCTTATCTGTCTGTATATTTTGTTAATTAATGAATATCGAAGTGTTTGAGTTTGAAAATACGCGGCGCGTCACTACACGTATGGGGAAAAATTACATTTTAACGCGTGGAGAGACAGAGTTTTGAAATCTAATTTAATCACGTCGCGGAGTCACCAATATGGRGTAATCGTATTCTAAGTTATCATAAGATTGTCCATTTATTACAAAATTCACTATATTTATTACAGCGTCTTATCCAAAAAATAGTTATTTTACGTTTTAATGTTTGACGATAAAGTTGGATGAAAGTACGGCGGAGCGCTAAACTTGTGGTCCGTTCCCTCGATTGGTTGGAGTGTCTGTTTTCTACGGCGTCRTAATGGCCGACTCATTKAGTCGTCACGCCGCGTAATGGCTGGTGAGTGCCGGTCGTTGGAGAGAGATAGCAGATGTGTGCTCTTAGCAAAATCAGCTGTGGGCTGGCGTGGCGTAGTTGCCACACATATATGTATTTGGATAATTTTTAAGACATTACATTCTTAAATATTCTTAACTTCTATTATTCACTGAAAATGTTTTTTTTAATTCGTTTTCTTCTATCAATATTATATCAAACCCAGACTCTAAGTACATTGTGGAAAATATTTAGATTCGCCTAAATTTAAAAGTACATCTTCGGTAGGTATTGAATATCTGTCAGCTATTATTTTTTCGGTTAATTCTTAAAATCGATAAGCATTCTTAGTTTCGGACTTTCGTATCATTTATTCCTTTTTTTGGAATAACCGAAATAGGAGAACTATGCGGACTTTAAATATGCCTTATAATGCCTTTTTCTAAAAAACTTTCGATTTCCTTATTAACCCTTAAATGCCCAAGGCCTCAGATTTTTGTAAAAAATGTATATGTTATGTAAAAATATATGTGGAACGTAGTTTCTTCGACGATTTTTTGAAAAAAATTACTTTCAGAGAAATTTTTTTAAGAATAATGGTTGTATCCTTAAAGATACACTGGCCATTCCCTTCGTTTTTTACTTCAATACCCAAATGAAAGTAATTTATTAAAAATGTATTCATATTTCATAAATGTTCGTTTAAACTAATATAAAATTTGGTGCATAACTTACTAAACAAAAGTGTTTTGGAATTTAGAACAAACCATTTTTGTTTGTCCCGAACAATGTGGATACTTACATCTGCCTTTTTTCCCATTGTCGTCCAGTGATCCGTCATGTCCAATCGGCTGTCTT